GGTCAACTCCCAAGAGCCCAGCAAGCCCATTTCCTCCCACTCTTAACACTTTGCTTGTCTTCGCCTTTGTAAGCTATCCCCCAATTACTACATGATTACGCCCCTTATACAGGAGGGGTCCATTTTACTGACCACATCCTTACTGCATGATTCCAGCAGTCAAGGCTCCCTCTCCTGACAGGTCAAGGGATCTGACATTCTCATCTCAGAAATTTGGGATGTATGCTCTGATGATGTCAATAAACTGACAGGCTCCTGGAAGAACACTGGGTGCTTAGGTACTGTCACTGTCACTGCTTCTAATCAGGGATCTGCTACTGGTAGTTTTCTTTTATTGATGACTGTGTCACATTAAACAGTGCTAATGAATCCCTTCCAGAAAGTCACACTTTTAGTGGACTTGAAAGTGGATCTGAACTGAAAAAGTGAAGATTTGTTATGTTCTATGGAACATCTAGACACACTCCTCGTGCTAAAACATGAATGTTTTCATTCCTGATACATTCTTCATAATATAAAAATTCTAATCTGGGTAAAGAGGACCCCCTTCTTAAAGAGAATAAACCATTCAATACTCACCTCCCTTCCACAAGTTTCTTTGCCAGTGTTGACACCATCTCCCTGGAGGCTGGGCACAAAGCTAGTAACTTGGCACCATAAAAATCAGCCATTGCTTAGGAAACCGCAAGATACTGCTGTTAAATGTGGATTGCGAAACAGAATATAGTAATACGAAGTTCCACATGTATAGTAATACAAAGGTCTCACTGAATTCACATCTGATCTGGACTTCTTGATGCCTTTTGAATTCATGGCAGCTACTCTACAAAATGAAGACGCTGGAAGAACTGTTGTGACTGGAAAAAATAAACCCCACCTGGAGAAACTCCACCTATATAATTGTCTTTTGAGTTGCCCTGCCTCAATTTGTTTTGTCAGCTTGGATTTGTTTGCTACCATCATTTATTATTTGAACACAAATCCAAAAGTGTTAACTTGGTAAAGTACTATTAGGGATGTACCAATACCGATACTAGTATCGGTGCAGATACTGGCTATTTTGGCGAGTACCCGTACTCGCCCAAACGCTCTGGCACCTTCCCCGATGCCAGAACTTCTGGTCAGAGGGAGGTTTCCCGCAAGGGAACATGGAGCCGGCTTCCCGCCCAATCAGGAAGCCTAACTAAGGGGTGGGCAACGTATCAAATCAGGTAGAGAATCTGCAGAAAAGGGTGTGAGAGCATGCCTGTGGCCCCTGTAATCACAGTCGGTAATCAACTGGATGATTTGGGCCATAAAGTTGCTTGACCATGGTAAAGACCTTAGTCAAAAGGGCAGACTTGTAGAGCAGAGGAAAGCATTATTTCAGGCTGCAGAAGTCATCACCACCAGTAGGCAGGCTGCAAGCAGCCCCTGGTCCATTAGTAGAAAGTTAACTGGGCGCATCTGGTACAGTTGGACTATCCTCACCGTGTCTAGAAAAAGACATGTTGTGACCACGTGGCAGTAAGGTAACATATAGGATCAAGGAATGCTGGTAGCAGATGAAGGTCAGATGGCCAGAGGTGACCAAAGTCTGTAAGGCAAGTGCTAAGGCAATGCCAGGAAGTCTGAACCTGGAAAGTGATCTGCAGCTAACTTTTACCAGTTTGAAGTCTGGAAAGTTCCCCATGCTAAACCCAATGCCCAAAGGTCACTTCCAGGCTATCCTCCCAAAGTCCAGTCAAGCCAGGCTCTTGTAGGTGGCACTATAACCCAAAGGTTAAACACTTCCTATGTCCCTCAATGGACATGAAAGAAATACAGTTTAAAGAAATTGTAAGCAAAATTATATACTGTCACTATAATATAAGGCTGCAATTAATGATTATTTTCATAACCGATTAGTTGGCCGATTATTTTTTCGATTAATTGGATTAAAAAAATGCCATCCTTAATTTAAAATGAAATACACATATGCAGTGTTACAAACATAAAGACTTCAGAATAAAACTGTATGCACACATTTTTTCAATCGCACTACACTGGAATGCACAGCAGTGCGGGCAATTACACTGTGGGTGGGAGGCACATTTGGGGTGCCATTGAAATGAATGGCACTGCAACGCACCTCCTGCAGCAGAATTTGTCAGGCCAAAAATTACTTTTTCCCACCTTTTATCATTTTTATTTAATAATTGTAAGCACATGGTGCTTGAATAGCTTCAGCCCGGGAATGACAGCTGCCAGTGGCAAGATTCTGCAGACGGCAGCTGAATGTAAATACAGCAGGTAGTGGTCTGGTGCAATAGCCAGCCTGCTATTGGTCATTTTAAATTGCAATAGCCAATAGCAGGCTGGCTTTTGCACCCGCATGCTGCTTGCTGTGCTATCCTCCCAGCTTAGAACAGAGAGCTAGGGGATCCAACCAACTAATCGATAATTGTATTCTCATTATCGATAATTATCGATTAGTTAGTTGCAGCCCTACTATAGTGTACAGTAATGAATATGTGACAAGATTCAGGCGGTCACACTGAGAACAAAATTTTTATATAATAACAGATAACAACAAGGTTAAAGTGGAAGTTCACCTAGATATACACATGTACCTTGATAAATGTTTGACTTCTGTCCACACTCTGGTTGTCCAGCAATCAGTATTGGAAATTGCCGACCATTTACCAGTGGCACCAGTACCCCCATGCTGTCTACGTCTTGTGATTGCAATACCTGGAAACCGCTTCCTCTGTGCCCTTATGCCGTCAAAGATGTAAATATCACAAGGGGTCTGAAGGATACCATGAGTTGCTTGGGAGACTTGCTAGTGTAAGTTGTTCTCATAAAAGGGAGTGTGTTTTGCCTACTGAGGAGGTCCAGAAGAAGTGCAAGTATGTTCAGGCTCTGCTGGTTGACTGCGTTTTATCTCTGTAACCAGCTCAGGCACTTTAATGTACGGAGTGTTCTTTAAAGAGTAACCGCAATAATGGTAAGCACTGCAACTATGCTTAAAGTGTGTGTAAAAATGTTTTCCTTTTTTTTGGCTTTAGACCGAGCGCGGAATGGTTAAGACCACGGGTTTTATTTTATTTTATTCGTCTGTGTCCCGTTGGGGCGATAGCCCTTTATATCCTTTCCCAGAAACACAGCAGGAAGTAACAGGATATTCCCTCTCAGACAGTTGTTACCAGTACAGGTTTACCCATTGGAAGATTTCCCCTTACCTCCAGTAATCGAAAGTTTTGGCTTTACATACACATGTCACTAAGGTCAGTCAGTCTACCTAAATTTGAAATGTATATAATTTGTAGTCAGTTCCAGTCTTCTCACATCACTTCTGCTTCTTGCTCACCAATGTGTTTGGGCCAGGGTACAAACGCCGTCAAAGTGCGGACAGTACCTGAGACAGGCAACACCAAACTTTATATTTTCTGCCTGAGATTTAGGGCCATATATGAGACAATGTTACCAGCAGCTAAAAGGATTTGGTTAACATGTAGCCAAGTACAGGATAAGAATGCTAGGATGACAACATTATTATAAGCAGAAAGAGTGTTTCATCTGAAGGAGTTTAAAAATAAACTCCACTTTCATGTAAAACATGTTTCTATATACAAAGTACTATGTTCAGCTTATAGACTCCGGGCTGATCCCTGCAGTTTTCTCTTGTACTGTTGATGTGACTAAAATAGGCAGATCTCCAACTTAGCTTTCAGGAAGAAAGAATTGACCAGAGGCAAGATGAAGGAAGTGATTGGAATCAGGAGAGAGGAAGTAACTGGAATCAGGAGGGAGGAAGTAACGAATCAGGAGGGAAGAAGTAACTGGAATCAAGAGGGAGGAAGTAACAAATCAGGAGGGAGGAAGTAACTGGAATCAGGAAGGAGGAAGTAACGAATCAGGAGGGAAGAAGTAACTGGAATCAGGAGGGAGGAAGTAACAAATCAGGAAGGAGGAAGTAACTGGAACACGGAGGGAGGAAGTAACTGGAATCAGGAGGGAGAAAGTAACTGGAATCAGGAGGGAGGAAGTAATTGGAATCAGGAGGGAGGAAGTAATTGGAATCAAGAGGGAGGATGTAACTGGAATAAATGCATCAGTTTCAACAGAACAGCAACAGGTAGGTTTGTTAAATTCATTGCAATGTATATAATTGACCTGGAGAGACTTACAGGGTTATTCACAAAAGAATGAAGAGTTTGGAGAAGGCAGGAGAAGTGAACAATCTAGGACAACATAGCTGATTTGGCCTCCTGCCTTCTCCAAACTCTTCACACTTTTGTGAATAACCCTGTTAGTTTTTTTACTTCAAGTGAAGTTTCACTTTGAATGCAATATTTTCATGTTTGACTGGAGTCTACCTTTAAGGAGATCAGATGCCTGGTTGCCATGATTGTGGGATCTCTGACAACAAATCTGTACTGTGTAGTGTGGACCATAAAATAAAAAACGGAAGGCATTCCTCTACAGACCCTGAAGTTTATGGGTTCTATAAATATTTATACAATTATATATATACATCCACAGTGGATTTTTTTTCAAGTTCTTTTATCATAAAAAACAGGTAAAACAATACACTTATCAACTCAAATAATTATAATATTAATTAAAAAAATTTACAAGTTAACTTAGTCCCTGCTGCGAGTGATGACGTAAAAAAAAAAAAATGAAACCCAAACAAAATGAAAAACAAGATTTCAAAGATCTTGCGCTCTTCATCTGTCTTTAGACTTGAGTCCTGTGTTGGTCCATTCATAGAAAGGGAATTGTGGGTCGGGCGGGTGTGCGTGAAAAATTAAAAATCCACAAAAGTAAAATCAGTGGTTTCCTTGCACCGAGTGTCAGCTCTTCAGTTCACACTGCGGCATATTTAGGAAGACGGTAGAATGGGGCTTGTTTTCCTTCACTTGCATGTCCCCGCTTTTCCATCAGTCTCTCCTATGCGGTGATAGCAATCTGCAATAGTCTAAGGGGTAGCAAGTCCGACCAAACAAATCCCTTTTTCTAAAGACAATAGTTTTTTTTGGAAGCTGGAAGAAAAGGTTAAAAGAGAAGCTGACACCCGGTTTGGCTGAATGTTAGTGAGCGTGAATGTCTATGTTTTGACCGTTCAGAAGTGCATCCGCCGGGCTCTGCGCTGACACCAGGTGGTGAGGGGAGGCACCTGCGGGCAGAATCATGGAGGCGTGATGGGGGTGCCCTGGGAGGTAGGAGTGTAAAGAAGGTCCGTGACGCAGGCCGGCAGGGTGCGAGGGCATGGCGGGCGTGTAACCGGCTGGAGGGAATCCCATGGCCATAGACCCCGGGGCCGCAGTGTAGTCCCCTGGGATTCCTTGGAAGCCTGGCAGAAATAAGAAAATGAGATTGTCAGCTTTTCAAGTCAAAACAGATTATTCACTGGATTAAGCAACTTTGTATTTTTCTTCTAATTTGTATTAATCCAGTAATGTTTGTAGGGAAAATTAATAATCAATGGCCATTTCTATACAGAACTCTAACAATTAGTAAACTGTTGATTCTCTGATTAGGAACCAGTACGGCTGGGCTCATTTACCATGCTATTTTTTTGTATACTGACTGAAAGTTCAATGAAAGCAAAGGTCATCCAGAACTGAGCAGCCAGTTTTTGGACGGACTCCGATGGGTGAAATCACCTGCCACCTTGCAAACAGAAGAGCGGCAGGGCCTATAGCAACCAATTAGGTTCCAGTGTCTTTATATTAATCAGGTAGAATAAAAATAAACGCCTGATTGGTCCATATGGGACCAATGATGGCAAATTGCAGTAACCCACAGCAACCAGATTTCATTTTACGGACATCAGATATGTGAAAGCTGCTTACTTCCTGTCAGCGACTGCACTTTGCTGCTTGCTTTGAGTCGTCCAGTTTTATCCAATTATATAAATGAGCCCCGGCAAACTTTGCTTCAATATTAAAAGGTATATTTAGGACAGAAGCAAAACCACAAATAGATATAAAAGGGAGTGAAAATGGATTCATAAAACAATAATGAATCAAAGTAGTCACGCAGGTCCAATGTTTACCATTCATATCATTCACACACTTCTCATCCTAGTCATGCATTTACAATGTGCCCCTTTCACTCTTCTGTACATAGACACCACAGACTGTCCCTTTACTACTGTAATTCTGATACTAAATCCTCCCACATCCTTCATCTGAATCTGGCCATGTACAGAAGGATCCAACCACTCAGAAATTAGCTATCAAACCCTCTGTAAATCCTCCCTTCACACAACAGGTTCATTGTTCAATATGTGTTGATTGGAGCCCATGAGGCAGTGATAGGGAAAGCCAATATTTCTGTATTTAGTTGCTTGTGTACAATGCTAGACATAAGATTCCAATCTGCCTCTAGGAACACCGACGATGTATACCACAGCCCAGAGATGCAACCATTTTCTTTCCATACAATTGGAGATTTTACATGATTTCGCCAAAACATTAGTACCATATGACCAATTTAAGACTGGTATTCTTACTTCTACCCTACTAATGGGACCAACCAAAGCTTTGTAACATCTTATGTGGGGGAACACGCTACAATATGCTTCTAGTTAAGCTTTTAGTGCTGATAGTTGCTGATCTTCATGACCTTTGATCCAAGTCATGAAAACCAGCAACTACCAGCACTAGAGGCCATGTAGCATGTCCCCCCACATAAGATGCTATGAAGCTTTGCTTGGTTCCATTAACAGAGTAGACGGAAGATGCTCCAAATGCAGAGTTGCATTAAGTTGAACTTAGGTGTGTTGTCACGATCGATAGTTGTCACGTGACAACCGCTTTGATGTCAGACAAGTCTGGTAATAGGGATCTACCTGCATGCCTGCGGCTGTCCCAGCCCCAGATGCTGACAAAGCGCCAGACAGATAGACTGGAGATGTACTTGTAGGCAGTGATGCTCCTCCAGGGGGGATAATTCATCTTCTTCACTCTCTGCTATGTGTCAGTTAATACTACAATCTATGTTATATTTGATATGAGGTCTCCTTCATCTCCACATGGGCTAATTCCCTGCTCCACCACAATTACGGTGCATCTGAGAGCAGAGCTACGCTTGATGTAAGCGTTCCCCGCAGCAGTCAGCGAGGGTTAATAATTTCCCTCATTTATAAAATGAAATACTTCCCGCTGCAGCGTAGTGCGCCCTCCGCTGACCCATGATAAAGCGCCGCTCGGAAGCAGAGAAATCTACATACCTGCGCAGTCACTGTGATTCGACACGCCGCCACAGACGGACTATTTAGTTTGCTGCCTATCAATTAGCTCCTGCTGGGGTCCTGTGTCCTCATCTTCTGTAGCTAATTCTCCTCGCAGCCCCACCCCCATTCCTGAGATGCAGGGAGGACCTCCAGCCCCCTCTCTCATCCCTGTTATTCCCTGCTCTGATCTCTCCAGCTACTGAAGGATCCTCATTTCTCCATGTCACCTCTATGCAAGCTGGCCCTGGTTCTTAAATTTGATGGGTTTTACGACCCCCTACTCCTCCAGTCACCTCATAGCTGGTACACACAGCCTATTGGGGTCCTGCAAGTCATCCCAGGCTTCTCGTTTAAATTGGCTGAAAGAAGGACCCTAGCAGCTACTTAGTCACAAATCCTTTTAGACATGAAATACAGATCTCCATGTCTTTTCTCCCGTGTTATGCATATATTCCTAAAACTATGCATTGCTTCTAAAAGGAAACTGTAAAGGTCTCAGTACACTAGGATGGAGCTGCCACTATCCAACTCTTGTCAGGTACCAGCACCATACAGTAATGTCAATGCCCTGGAGCAAGCATTCAGCCATTATCTGGGGAGTATCGCTTAAACCAGAAGCTTCTGATTCATGACAAATCTATTTATACCCATACCAAAAAAATATGTGGCCAACCATTGCTGACATCTACCAAATATGCTAATTTCCTGGCTGTCAGACCAATCTTATGAATTGTTGCAGTGCAGTATTAATGCCAAAGACAGTCAGGCAGCTAGCAATTTCACAGCAAGGCCAACAATGTCTACTTACATATGTTACCTTAATTTACGTTTCCTGTGATCCCCAGTTTGAAGAATTCTGGTCTCACATAAACCAGTGTTCAGACTGAAAACAAGGCAACTTGTGCCCATTGTGTGTTTATTCATGAATTGCATACTATAGGGTCTATTGGGTCTATTGAAGAGTTTGTAGAAGGCAGGAGAAGGGAACAATCTAGGACAACATAGCTGAACTGGAAAGTGAGCTGAATTGGAGAATTTTTCCAAATCGGCTATTTCGTCCTAGATTGTTCACTTCTCCTGCCTTCTCCAAACTCTTCACCCTTTAGTGAATAGACCTGTATGTATCATTGTCAAGATGATACATGGAAAAGTCTGATGAATAAATCAAATAAGAACGCCTTTGCTCATGGCACCCAATCACATCTCATGTATTAAAAAGAAGCTGAAATCTGGTTTTGATGGGCAACATCACTTATCCTTTTCTTTATCCTTCCAGTATTTTATCTTATCACTGCACACTGTAAACGGAACTCTTTTGTGGATCAAATGAGTTATTCCCAGTAATTTGATTGGTTCGGCTCAAATACTGTTTTTTGTTGCTGTGAGAAAACAACTGACCTTCATAAAAAGCAGAGTGGGTCTGTGCCAACATTACATCCATACTCCAAATACCACGCATGCAGTGATGTGCATGCATGTGACATCCGTGAGCAAGGCAATACTTGTGGTGTGACGACATGAGAGAGAGGGGTAAAGGTGATGTGTATGTACAATGATAGAGTGTAGGGGGAAATTGTGATTGACAAGCACCCTGCCCTCCACCCTCCGTTGCAGGTCAAAAGATTAAAATATATATAAATATTTACTTACATCCCTAGTACCAGAAAGATGGCAGGGGGTTACATGTAGTGCCACTGCCCTTCCATACCTACGGCCATGCCTAAGCCTCCCATGGCTCCTAAGGGAAGACAGGCAACTAAGACTAAGAAGAATAACACTGCGGTACAGTCACCACCCACATGTTGTGTATTACCTGTCCTGGTCAGCTCTCTTGCTCGCTGCACAAAGCACCAAACCAATGTGGCCACTGAGTTAGCCAGGCATGCATTGCCAAATTGTAAATCTCTTGTGCCCATGTTGAATAACTGGTTTTAGGCAGTACCTGCCAGGTTATAACATAGTGACCACATTAGTAGCCAGTCTATCATCAGAACTTATTTAGACCACGCAGTACAGCATATTGTTATTTCTCATACGAACTTTTCAGCCACTTCACTGAGCAATATGTAACCCAAAGGCTATTCTATACAGAGCACCTTAACATCCTCCAGTGTTCAGCAAAACAGGATAATAAAAGGGATAACAGGACATTATAAACTACAGCAGTTTTAATACTGCCACATGCACATGACTAAAAGGGGAGTCCATCCTCTGCCAGATGGAAGCAATGCTGCCTGTAACATCTTCCGAGCTTACAGTGAACCTCTACAGATTGAAAGATGGAGGCTGCCAAAGCTGGAAAGTCACTGAACTGAACATTCATGCAGGATAGGAGCTCAGACTTTCAGATGTCGCTGGCTGCGTAAATGGTTCAGGTCAGACTCATTAGGTAGTGAAGCTGGGGTGAAGATGACAGTGCAAAGCACGCACCTTTCATGGAAACATGTCATAGGAGAAACATGGGAGCTGCGCTTGTGGACCACTCTTTCATAACATGCTGGTTGCCCAGCTTGGGTCAGCGATAGCAGCCATATTTCTGCCAAATTGGGGGCTGCCATTGTTTTAAACATTTCAACAATGGCAGTCCCTCAATTTCCTTCCAGGTCCACTTTAGTGTTTTTTTTATCACATATGAGTATAATAGTGTCAGGGCACTTTATTACTTCCTTTCTGGTGCCTGTGTGATATCAGATCCCTCTACATACTGTACATCTTAAAGCTACACACCGCTGTATTACAGATGATTCTGGGTACAAGTGGAAAGTTGTGACTTTCATATAATACTCAGCTATCTGCTCCCTCATGTCTCTACAATGTCACAATCCCGTCTCTCACCTGGTGGGCGGATTCCCATGTGCTGCTGCCCGTCCATGACGTATCCCCCCATGTTCTGACCATCCGGGCTATAGGGTGCTCCACCTTGACCTGCGGTGACAAGAACAATTCATTGGACTGTGTTCCGCTGATTTCACTTTGTTGTGTCTATCTGCCCACAACCACTTTAAAAAAAAATTGTACTGGCCACCATGGGTGATCTGTAACTTTTATGCTTCTAGAGCTTTTATGAGTGCAAAACAAAGTAACCTATGCATAGTGTTGCTCACAACAGACTTAAAGTAATCCTGCCGTTAAGTTAAACTAAGTTGCATAGATACCAACACAATGTCAACACATATCTTTGTAGCTTCTCAAAACTTTCTATGTTCTCTGGTGTTCCAAAAACCTTGACATGTGCATGATGTAAATTCTGCCACATCCTGCGTATACATCTCCACAGGCCCCAGAGCTTTGACATGGAGCCCAGGTTAAAATTCAGAAACTGCACGTGCCGGACTTCAGGGACTCCTAGGCAGCACAGGAAGAGATTCAAGAAGCCCCATGGGTATGTGCAGCATTGTGTCTAAGCAGACACATAGTTTGGTGATTGTTTATCACTAAGTGGCATGCAGAGAAGTTTTATTTTATTTCCCTATTAAAAAAAACCTGAGCTGAGAAAAACAACTAGGCCTCCAAACTGAACTCTCCTTCTGGAATGACAATTGACAGACTCATCCATAGGACTCCTTATTGAAGAGACAGAGGGGCATTTAACATTTTGAGATGGAGGTGAGCCCCACCATGTTCTCATGACAGGTTTCCTTTAAGCTCTGCCCACAGAGCAGAAGATTGCATCAGCTATATGAATCATCTTGGTTATAAATACATATGTTATTTTCTGGGGTAACGGTAACGTGATCTGCAGCTCTACTGTAAAACCACTTGGTCTAATTTTAAATTATAATAAAGCTCAGCACACTATTGTAGACGAAACAAGAGGGAGTAAATGTATTTGCGCATTTCAGGTCAGTGCCGCTTACCTGTGCGGTTTGATTGGTCAATCATTGGCTGAACGATCCGCCTTCTTGCATTAATGAACCTGCACCCCAAAGAGAAGGAAAGAATGAAGACAATAAGAACATGTCTTAGAAGTCGACCACAATAGCAATTTACAATAAAATCACTAGGCTCATTTATCTGAGTGACAAAATGAATTCCTATAGCACTATATCCTGTCTTTATGTTCTATTTCTATTTATCTACAGCCCATGCAGAAGATATATATTGTTTTGTATTAAGATGCAGAATTTGATGCCACCCAGTTAATAGAATTCTCATAATATTGGACACCATGGATGAAAGTGTCTGAATGAATAACTGTCCTTGTTGCCAACAGTAACCCGGCGCAATATGGATAAATAAAAAGAAGGATCTGGATGGTTGCTGCTGACATTATGAACAAATCTTTCAGGTTTTCTTAAATTTTAAATTAGAACTTGGAGGGTATGGGAGACTTCTTACCAGTTATTGACCTGTAGTATCGTAAGCCCTGTGTCCTGTGCTAGCTGCTTCTTTTGTTCTTCTGAGGGGTACGGGTGCTTCATGGGGGGAAAAAGAAAATATTTGATTACACCAGATTGAATAAACACGATCCAATCCATTCAAAAGGCCAAACATATCAAATAAAAGATGACTTTTGTTCTGTGTTTATAGGCGCGACTCGCAATCATAGCTTTGTATGTGCAGAGTTTGGTTGCTAATCAGACCTGAATAGATAAAAACGGGGTGTAGAGAGACTTCCTGCCTACTAGTCATATAGAAAAATAAAAAAATTCAGCCTTTGCTCTATGTGTATGAAAGAATTAAAACATTTATTAAAGCAGCACCACACTGCTCTGATAGCCCACGGACTGGGTGAATTGAAGATAATCTAAAGATTCTCCAGTAAACATCCAACCATCTGCTTTGTTAAGTGGGAGCAAGTGGGTGATTTTTATGATGTCCTTCTAGATGTATAGGACAGATGGGACCAGCACAAACAGCGCCTTTCTTTCTCAGGAGCCCAAGAAATGTGCAACTGGCCGTTTGCTTGATCAGGAGGACCTAAAACACAAAACAAAAAAAATGGCCATGGAGCTGTCAAGGGCAGCAATGATGGATGAGATTGGGGGTCTTAGGTTGCAGCCAGACGGAGACCTTTGCTTGACAGGTTAGTGACAGATGAAGGGCATGAGTGCAGATTGGGGGGGGGTGGAGGTGGAAAATCACAGAGGCTAAACGGTTGTTAAGGGTGACCATGCCAGAACTATGAAAATCTGCAAGTTCTAGTCTATAACGTCTTTCCCTTTGAATCATCTTATGTCTTGTATATTTATGTAATTGGCATAGGAGTGCCCAAACCTGGAGTGTTCTCAAAACAGTAAAAACAATGAATACATTTGCTTCCCTGGGTACTGGAAGCATTATAACATAAAACTCAAACTATTGATATTGAAATACCCAATAAGATTATTTTTTACATAGAGAAGACGGTTTTCAACATAAAAGATCCAAAATAACTGCTCTATGAGTTACAGAAATTGGAGCTATTGGGAGTACCAACCAAATGCTAGATTTAGTTTTCCTAGAGGACGAAGGACAACTTGATTAGTTCCTATGGCCAACAGCCTTAGCTTTCTTCTGTCCCAGTGTCCAGCTGCCACAGAGACTCAATGGGCTGACATTAAATTATGCAGTATCCCCTCTTCAAACTTTTTTTATGTTTCCACTAAGCATGCAAGTCGCAAAGCTTGTTTCCAAAGGAAAACAGATCCGTACTTTCACCGTGTAGTTGCAATATGTGAAGTAGAAACAACGGTAGTTGTACCTGCCAATCTCTGAGTTCAGGCAATGTTTGCATGGGAACAACTAAAGACCATCCGTATCGAATGGCATTCTGTGCATTCATAGTGCAACTATATTACCGCTTGTATTTCTCAATCCTGACAGCTAGTTCTTTTCTATATTTCATACTTGCTTACACTTTTATTACATGAATACAAATAATTAAAACAAAATAATAAACTATCCCGATTCCAGCTTTTCCTTTGACGGGGTATGAATGGTTTACCATGGATGAAGCTTTAAAGGGCATTAGGAAAGATTTTACAGAAGAACATATGCTGTGGATCATAGGAAGCTGTGACAGGCCTAATCCAATTTGAGATGGCAGATGCAAATCAAACTCGCAGCATACTGCTGTAGCTAAAATTGTGAATGGCCATATAGTTGTCTTTTTGAACTAAGCTTACAACTCTACATAAAATTAAACTTTATTATACAATTATTAATACATTTTAATGGAGTAAAGTACCCCCCAAAATAAATAAAATCAGTGCAAATGGTTTTGTTGGGCTGTATGTAGTGTGCACAATGATCCACATTTAGGGCTCGATCACACCATAATGTATGTTATAATGAGCGCCATGAACCACATTATAATGCACATTACCGCAAAGCATAGTGAGGCGCTGTAGTTGTGCACTGAAATGTTAAAGTTAATTGCACCCCAATGCACATCTACAGTGCACAGCAATGGACCTGCATAGTAATAGCACACCACAATGCAAAGATGCATATGATCTATGCCTTGCATTGCCCTGTGCTTAAAAATATATGCTGCATTTTGAATTGGATGCCCAATGCATCTTGCCTTGCTTATCAATGCGCCATTTTATTTTGTGACCGGGCCCTTGCTGCAATGTTTGAGAGGCTTATGCTGCCACAGCAATACGCCTATTGCTTATATTTCCAAGCTGGCTGTTGGCAACACAACTTGTTCTTTGATTGCTCAATCATCTGACAAAAAGTGAACAATGTGGTCAAGCGGCGATTTTGTTGCCACGATCCTGTCCTTTTCGCAAATAACTCTGAATATGTGACAGGATTATGGTATTTTCTTCCCTAAGACTTTCACACCGAGGTGTTGCTGAATTCATCAGGTCAGTGCGACATTTTTAGGAGGTTACTGGACATGACCCTAAAATAGAGGCATGGGGGATTTTCCCTTGAGTTCTGTGAAGGTCTACTCCGGCCACTATTAAAATTTTCTTTTAGTGGGCACTTGTGGATTTAATCAGGGGCGTATCAGTGAGGCCTAAAGCTAAGGCCCCTACGTTTGGTATTGTGATATGTGATATCACATGACAAAGTGCTTTGGGACGCAGTAAGTAAGGGAGAGGGGTGGACCAGGCTTTGTGCGGGGGCACCTACATGTGTAGCCAGTAGGTCACAACGTTTGACCACTTCTTGGATTTAAAGACTGTTGTGGTCAGATTTTTTAGCAGTAGCTGGTGTGTCTCTGTCCAATCCTATGATAAAGGAATCTCTCCAGACTCCCAAGTTATTTATTTATTATACTTTTCAGAGCATCATCAGGGAGTGTGACACCATCAGTTTGTATAACTTGCTGCAGAGCAGCCAATCAAAACTGATAAAGAACAGTTCTTTGTGGGGATACCCTTTAAGAATTGAAGATTATGTTGATCACAGATCTGTCGTGTTACATAGAAATCTCAGTAAACATACAGGCCTCCAGCATTTTTGCACGTTGGCTGGAGAATATCTTATCCTCCAACGAGCAGAGGAAATAAAACAGATAATCAGGGGTGTGTGATGTAGGTTCCCCCTGCCTATCCGCCTGTCAGATGTAGCTCCTCGTCAGCCAGCCAGCTCTCCCTCCCCGATGCCTGCCTGCCGCTAAGCAGGTTCAGGGTAATTACCTAGAATTGATTACCCGTTTACCAGCTTCTAATAGGTTTATAGCTTCGTCAATTAGTAACTAATTGGTCAGCGTTCATTAACTCTGCTTTGTTTAACTAGGCAGGGACGGGCTCCGTTCTGACTAATTGTTTCTGTGCACTCTGCTAGCTGAGATGTAGCCCGGGGCGGACTTCATGGGTAGCTGCAGCCGAGACTCTCAGCTTTTATGCCGCTTTAGTAATTTTTAATTGGGTCTGCATTGCAAAGATTTCTCAGCATGTAGCGGGCAGAGTGTACCCTCTGGTGCAAATGGTTAAACGCAAAGGATGCGCTGACAGCACAATGTATAAAGCTCTAAGTCCTCTGTCTAATCACATCACATTACTTCCTATGGTCATTTTTTTTTCTTTTATTGCACAGTAAAGAGCACTTTACAACAGTATTCCTTGTAAAGCAAGTGAAAGATATGACAGAGCTTTATAAAGAGACACAGAAGTGTATCTAGATCCAATAAAGGGCGGAACACCAGTGCTCAGTTCTTCTGCGCTTCTCAGCCAGCCCTTCAATGAAGGTAGCGCCTGACCTCAGAGCTGTGCTGGTTCTTCCCTGTGTGTAGGAAACACATCCCTTTCACCTGCTCCCCATTCACTACTTTCATAATGACATGAGTTCACAAAACCAACACTTGCATTTACTGAACCATCCTATGCGGTCATTACATGACCTGGCTGATATATGAATACAAAATAAAACATTGCTCCTTCTAAATATGCTATGAAGATGGAAATCTGGCAGATAAGGTAATGTGACATACTATATAACAATGCCCAGACAGATATAAGATGGGGGCACCTTCTGGCTAATACTTGTTCGAATAGACCAAATGTCAAATAGACCAGAGAGTAGACATAATCATATGGACCAATTCTACTGTCCCCCATTCAGTCCAGCTCGGGTGTGTAAGACTGAGCTCTGCAAACCTGAATTATGTTTCTATGGGCATCTCTACAAATGACAGGATTTAAAGGCAGCCTCTACTGCCAGCTTGTTTTGAAAAGTGCAAGCTAGGGCTGCAACTACGTAATCGATTAATCAATAATGAGAATAGTTGCCAACTATTCTCATTATCGATTAGTTGGTTGGTTCACCTAGCTCTCTCCTCCACACTGAGAGGAGGGCACAGGAAGCAGTGGACGGGTGCAACAGCCAGCCTGCTATTGGCTATTGCAATTTGAAATTGCCATTCCACCAGCCCACTACCTGCTGTATTTACATTCAGATGCCATCTGCAGAGTCTTGCCATTGGCAGCTGTCATTCCCTGGCTGGAGCTATTCAAGCGCTGTGTGCTTACAATACAATTATTTAAAAAAATATATATAAAAGGTGGGAAAAAAGTCATTTTCGATTTCAGCCTGACAAATTCTGCTGCGGGAGGTGCATTGCAGTGCCATTCATTTCATGGCACCCCTAACGTGCCTCCAACCCACAGTATGATCGCCCGCACTGGAACGCATGGTACCACAATGCCGTGCTCTCCAGTGCAGTGCGATTTCAAAACCTTGTGCATGCATTTTTTTTTTCTGAAGTAAACTTTGTAACACTCCATTTGTGTATTTTATTTTAAATTAAGGATGGTGCTTATTTCTTTTTTTATCCAGTTAATCAAAAACATAATTGGCCAACTAATTGATTATGAAAGTAATCATTAGTTTCAGCCCTAGTGCATGCTCTGGAGCTGTCATCTTCATCCGAAAACAGGTTTATACAGGTTAGGTGACCCAACACTTTACTGACATGCTTCTTTCAGGTCAGTGAATGGCTAGGTAGGGAAGCAAGAAAGAGGATGAAAGTCCTTTGCGCCCTGAGGGTGGATTCCCACTGTTCCATGTGCGTTGCAGCGCATGCGGTGACGGAGACCGATAGGTGTGGATGGGCCCATGACGTTTCTCTGTCCTTTCCCACTAAACTACAGCTCATATATGTGAATCCGCCACATAGAAAAGAATGGGATTTCTACTTGAAATGCATTTTCATGCAGCAAAATGCATGAGTTTGGCTATGTTAAGGACCTATGCACACTTGTCTATTTTGATGCAGCAAAACTCTTGCAGTTTAGCGTGAAGACTAAGGGAAACTCCATGGGCCCATTCACACCTACATGTGTGCGTTGCCATGAGCGCTGCATGCACTTGGAACAGTGTAAATCTGGCCTAAAACGGACAAGTGTGAATAGACCCTCCATGACGAATCAGGAATGGTAGTGTCTTTGTTTCTATCCTGAGAGGTTTCCAGAAAATAAACTCAGCATCCATATTTCTATTATGACAAGATCTCTTAAAGCAAGAAAAAGGGCCATCATTGGAGAGTTATCAAATCCTCATGAGGACATTTAAAAAATAGTCTTTGTCAAATGATATTGCCGTCTGAATAAATCAGTGTGTAGCCAAACAGATCTGGTCTCCCTGTACTTCCAGGCCCCATATAGTAGTCTGCTGTGGCTATGTCAAAGGCATATTGCCTAATCCAGGCATGGTGACAACATAACACGGGCTTCTCATGACACTGACTATATTTGGTATGAAAACATTAGTTTGTAGTGCCACACAAAGGTTGTTCTTTCCTGCTCCTTCTCACAATGCAACACTTTGAAGCAGATATCTCCACAGCGGTGAAGCAGGGAGGCAGAGGGACTGCAGTGAAAAGCATCTCTCCTTCTAAAGGCTAATCTACAAATCTCTTAATGCAATATGGAAGACCAGCATTCAAATGAACATTAATACATATTCACTGAAAACAAGCTTTACTTTGCCTTTTAGTGACCAGGCATCGGAGTTTCTTACCGAAAGGTGCTGGAAGAGCCACGCTCTCATGATGTTTGTGGCGACTTTAGGGAAAATGCCTCGTTTCTTGTTCCTTTTTTTGTCCCTGTCTAAGTCATCATCGTCCCCCGTACTGGGTGAGGCCACGCTGTTGTCTAGACAGTCACCTGTAAGGGAAAACATTACAATATGCGTTAAGCGGACACAATTATCGTAGTTCACCATTTTCCGTTTAATTTGACATCTTATTCTTGCTGAAAATACATTTCTGTTCACCAATGCTTATATTTTGTAGCTGAAATTTGACTTCTGCCAGCACCATCTTATCTCATTTGCCTTGTACATGTTCTCAGAACAGGCTCCCCCTACTAACAGAATGCAATGTCGGTGAGCACACAGAGATGGAGGAATCTCCTTATATGAGCCACTTCTGCTGACTGCACATAATAAAATATTTTATTGAGCAGCACATCCAGATATACAGCCCTGTAAGATGTGCATATTACAGTAAAGGCATCATCATAAATTACTGAATCCCAGGAAATAGCACAAAGATATCAGTCTGTCACTGATCGGGCTTACTTTATTGTTTTTCCACTGCAGCCTCTTCACATTATTTTTCCCACTGTAGCCTTTTCAGTAATGTCAGTGGCACTGCATTCAGAAAAGGTAAAACAAAAATTCTTCTGCATTGTGGGAGATACTCCCCCGTGCGCGGCCATCTATCGACATCATAGGTTGAACTCTGGATCAGCCCACAAAATGACTTCCTTCTTTGTAGAGATAGGAGCCATTTCAATTTGCAGCCCTAAACATTATTTGCTTCTCTATTGAGGTTCGTGACTTGTACTGTGCTTGGCTGGCAGTTAACAATCAGATCACTCCAATAGCCATATGTCTGTAGACATTGGGGTTGGGTTCCTTGTGCTCACAAATCACCAAATGTAACCATCAAAATAAAAAAAAGTGGGCAAAGCCAGTGGAGAATTGTGAAAAAAGGGGACAGAAAGGTATATAAATGTAACTAAGAAAATGAAGAACATTCTTATAAATAGCATGCATTTCCTAGATGGTGATAGAATTGCACAGAGGGAAGCACAAAGAGTAGAAATGATGTTCACAATGTGGTAACCGATAGCATCTGACTACATTCAGTCTACTGCAGTTGGTCAGGTTGCTGTATGGGTACGACACTTTGCATAATAACACTGTACTTTTGCACTGCTTTAATGAGTAAGCCCAAGACTGGCCCATCCAACTAACCCATTCATTGTATACCTTAACATTCCTATCCAAGCATCAATCTGGCCCAACCTCAGTTGTGTTTTATGGAAGCATTTCATGAGATAACCATGAAGGCCGCAGTTGTTGATTACCCATTCTGGCTACCTGACTATCATGCTGGCTGACTATCTGGCTTCAGTTCTTTTAGTCTCTGACCTAGAAACAGTATGTAATAAAGGATTTATGACTTTTGTCTAACTTTCCTGATCTGCATACTTGTTCCAGGTCTTTGACTTAATATTGAAGCCAGTGGGTCAGCATAATAACCAGGCAATTAGCATATTCAGCAATGGCTACTTCCATACTGCTTCCAAGAAATTTGGTCGATGTTGATTGTCCCACCACCATTGCTGGTAGATGCTTTGATGTGATGTATCAGATACAAATTCAGTAAAATAATGTCTTATAAGGTTGCTGCAGGCTATTGAGAGACAATCTGTCATCATGAAACTGATCCCTGGAATTGATGAACATGGGCACAAGCAGCAAATAACAGAATACAATGTCAGGTGAACAGCTGAGCCTCTGCATGGCATTTCCAACTCCAATACACAGCCTTAACAGTAAGTGATGGCAGTAAGATTTGTTTTGTGATAACTGGGCAGTGAATAGGTTAATATCCATTAGTTAACGAGCACAAAAGGGTGTCGGGAAGATTAAAAAACCTTCCAGATTCTGTGTAACAGATACAGAGTTAGAGATGAGCAAATCAATTACTGCACTGATGCTGCAGATTGGCAAAGGTAATTATAGGTATACTGGGCCTTGTTGACTTAAATATGTGAATGATTAATCACATGAATGGTGAACCCTGGCAACCATGGCATAGCATTCAGCAGAATGTGTAGACTGTATTTTGCCTGAAGTGTCAGATTTGCCTTAAATTAAGCTACCAATACAAGATCAACTAGATTGGGCGAAGGTCTCATTTCTAAAAGTCCAGCGCATGACAACCCTCAATAGCCTGTTGCTGCCATTCCTCCCTGTGTGGAAATCCTATTCTCCTCCTAACTAATAAAATTTAAATTTAAACAGTCCAGCCCACATTTTAGGAGCATGCCTCAAGGAAATTTGTCTGAAGGTGATCATCTCTGCATGTCTGACTGCATCCATTGAAAACGGGACCATCTTTTTGGTGTGCGCGCAACAGAGCTCAAGCTTTGCCTGGTCAGGTAATAAAGACACGTTGGACTGGGAGGTGCATTTTCCACCATGTTTAGTGAAATAAATATTTGCCCATCTATGGATAAGCAATATTGAAGCAAAACCCATAAAGATTTACAATAACAGTACCAGAACCTTTAAGCTAAACATACAATAAGACTGAGATGGGGCTATGGCCAAGTCTTCACCCAATGAGCTGTGGTTAGATATGTCTGGGTGCAGATGACCCTCTTACGTTCTCCGAAATATCCTTTGGCCTGGCCTCTCAAACACACAATCTCTCCTGTCTCTTAAACATAAATCAGAGAGTAGGACAACAGGGGGGGACTATATAACAGCTGCTCAGCTCCTATAACCTGCGGCAAAAGAGAGGCTTAAAAGCTTGCCTGGAGGGGAAGTAAATTATGCATCAGAGCCTGCGTCTGCTCTGCCCTGTGTTGCACAGTACTGCTTCCCTCCCCTCACCTCCACAACACCCCTGTTATGCCCTCTGTTTCCATATGCAAAAATTATCCTTCTTATGAATTTTCATAGCGCCATAAAGTCAGAGAACAAAGGCTGCCTGCGCAAGAGGCAAGAAAGAGAAGTGACTGATATATGTTGGGGTCACAGGAAGCTGTGGGGTTTAAAGTGTGGATTGTATTGTCTGGTGTACTAATTACTGAACTGCAGGTCATGAACACGAGAGTGTTGTGGCAGCATTACCTATGCTGTGCCAACTTGACAGCTTTCAGTGCAATGAAGATGTTAGTTCAATGTGCTTTTTGAATTGTTCTTTTTGGTAGCAGTACAGTCTGTACTGCAAAATGTGACTTTCAATCATCTTTAAAGGGACTCAGTCTTAAAACAAAGCATCCATGTGAGAAGGCACTTATAGAAGCAGCCATTTTTTTTTAACTGCCTGCCATATGTTACTTCTCATTTAGTGAAGCTCAATCTGTTTTCAGGGCCTTGAATTAGAATAAAGCCTCCAAATCAGGGAACGACTGCTTCCATCAAGGCCTTTACCTCCCCTTGAAATCCATAACTGAAGCTATATCAGTAGTGGGTGAGACTGTATGATGCGGCGGTCATTGCCCTCTAGACTGCTTTGTTGTTTACATTATCATTATTAGGTAGGGATGCTGCCAACTATCTGGTGATTAGGACATATTCAATTATCCTGGCTGTGATCTAATGAGGAGTACGGACATTAATCTGTGGACTGGAGCAGATTAGATTATATTTAATGCTCACAGATCTCGTGTTTGGGGCATGGATTTGAGTAATGATCCATTGATAAAGACAGCCCTCGTTGTTGCCATTTATAGGTGTCTGTTACCAGCAAAGAATTGTGAAACTAGGGGTTACATGATGTCCCTTGGCCCTTTAGGCCAGAGTAAGGACACAGATACATGTAAGCAGTTGTCAGCTGTTGCCGATTCCTGATTGCAATGTAAACCTTCTAATTTATTCTAAAATACTTTTAAAATCCAGCAGATTAACAATACATAGCACTCCTGTCTCCTTTATAAAGGATGTGTATGGAACCATTTTCTGCATGGTCAGCACATGTGACTGGTTGTAAGAGAACTTTATGGAATTGCAATGTAAATGTGATCAAAATGAATGTAATGTGCTTGTGATCCATTTGACAAATTCAACTTGGGAAATAAAACTTCATGCTGGGAGCCAACCTGGAAAGTCTAGATCAACCACATAGAAAACGCATACAAATATATTGAAAAAAAACCTTTAAAGGTTTTAAAATCAGAAGCTCCCCTTTAGATTTGCACCAGAGACGTGTGACTTATGCTAGCCATAGACATAAACACAAATCGTACAAACAGCGCTCTTGTAGTGGTATTGAGGGGGTAAAAAATGTGACCCTAAGTAGTGTGCAGCCCTGAAACCCAGGAGGAGTGCCTGTGGATATGCAAACCAGAAACAAAAAAATTAACACTTACATTTTAAATCATGGGACCAGAGGATGGACCATCCTCTGGTCCCATGATTTAAAATGTAAGTGTTAATTTTTTTGTTTCCTCAGCTATTCATTAGTTTTTCGCCCTTTGCATCCATTGTCACATGATTTTCCCTGTCACCTTCCCCGGGTCGTTCGACCCGGCCAGTCAGCCTACCTAGTGTTGCGCCCTTTTTGGTTTTTCTGTTTCTGGTTTGCTAGCCATAGACATAAGATTGTGGTCAGAAGGTCCAACCACTGAAGGATCTTTACCACCTTGCAAGTTTATGGTGATAGAGAAGGAAAGGGCAGGAAGCAAAGAGAAGGAGTCATGCCTGCTTATAAGGGAGATCAGAATAGGTATTCTAACCTGTCTGGTTGCTGATACTTCTGGAGAGAGCTCACAGACACAAGATCATCACTGATCCAGCCAAAAACTACCCATCTGGGCAACTGTCATCTCACCTCTATGTAAAAGGTGTACGTGATACTATTGTTCTATGACTGTTTCAGTGTGTAACCCAGCATATGACTTTATAGCATGTGATGTTTGTCTTCTGCCTTAGAAGAATTAAGGTATAATATGGATATAACCAAACCAACCTTAGCCTCTGGTCATAAATATGTCAAACCTTAAAGTGACATTAAAGGATACGTTTTTTCCCCTCCCCCAATGTTAATGTCAGCACTTACCTTAAATGATATCTCTTAATCCGTTCTTCTTCTTCTTTCCTGTCGTTTTCAGCCTTCTATCCAGCACTGCGGTCGGTCTCCGATCCAGCGCTGCGGTCGGTCTCCGATCCACCGCTGACTCCTCTGTCCTTGCTGGCACTTCCTGTCCCACGGTGTCTGCATGCGGGTGCACGTCGTCCATAGACTTACCTTGTGTCTCTCCTCGTCTCCCAGCCAAAAATCTGAACTGCGCATGTGCCTGCCCCAAGATCTTTTGCGGCTGCCCGAGATTTTTCTGATTGTTGGCGCGTGGGGAATACACAGGTAAGTATTAACCCTTTTCAAAGCGTTTGTTTCTTTTTTTTTTCTACTTTTTACATATATCTATTGCTTGCTAGCAGTAGATATATAAAAAAAAAAACCGGAGGGTTTAATTATACTTTAATTTTATCAATAACCAATTTAAGCCAAATCAAATTATTTTAAATAATAAAAGTTCCTGTTCATTACCAATTACTTAAAAGTGCTCTTCCCCAGCTCCCTCGTGATCTTAAGTCTAGGGAACCTAAGGTGCCCATACACCTTACGACCATCGCAAGACTTTTGTCTTGCGATGGTCGTAAGCTTATTAAAAGTTCGTACGATCTGCCCATCTTGGACAGGCAGAACGTACTTGCGATCATCGAAAGCCCGCCCCGCTGAGGGGCGGGTTTCCGATCACTGCAAACTGGCAGTGTGCGCAACCCACGTATTTCTCTCAAGACGGGCTCCCTGTAAACAACAGGCAATATAGTGAACCCAATATTGTGGGGCAGTATAGTACTCTATAATATATTAGCACCAAGCTTATGTCTCTATTGGACCCAACTAGACTATCTACAGACATTAGATAGCAATCTTTGGTAAATGTGGTTTAAGGTCAATCGTTCTCACAGAAGACCAGTGTTCCAAACTGGAATTTTTGTCCTAGTTCTCTGAACAATCCTTTCTTTCTTTTTTTCCCAGGGAAACAATCACGTACAATCCACATACATGGATAACTTTAGCATGACACAGTCCATCCCTAGAAGCATTTCGATGTCACCTGGCACCACAGACGTATGAAAAATTGTTAGTGTTCGTGGAACGATCTTTCATATAAAATTGTACAACTGGGAGATCAGTCAGAACTCTGGCAAGCGCTGTTTTATGCCTACGGGCAGCCTAGGCTTACAGCTACTACAGGCCCTGGATGAGATCCTCCAGGTCTGAGCTAGAATGGCAGTTAGTGGAACAGCCAGCACACGTCTGTTCCCGTTGTTTATTTTACACTAATCCAGTTTACATACTGCAAGGAGCGACTGGAAGAGGGAGGGTGTCATTGCGCTGGGAGAGAGAAGGGAGTGCAGATCTGGGGGCTGTATACTGGGCCCCCCCTTTAGGATTATTCTGTGATTAAACAACACTCCCTGTGGCTTTATAGCAACCCTTGCTGAGAGTCAATGAAGCAGACGCACAGTGAAGCAGCATGGAGAAGGAGAAGTGGCGAAGGGAGGAGTGGTGTCAAGCACTGTGTGGGGGGGGGCACATATTTATGAATGAGAGGTCGCGCACAGATGGGGGGGGGGAATTCTTCAGCAGTCCAGTTAACGCACAGAACTGGCTCTGCACATTTATCTGATGACCTTGAAGTTTGAGAGCAAAGGAGGGTGGGTGGTGCAAAAAGAGAGGGGGGCCTTGGTCTGGCACAAGGAGAAAAGCAAGCTGTGATTTCAGTGCTCAGTCA